CACCTTGTTGTCTCGGATTCTCCAGCATCTGCAGTTCCTACTATCTCAGTACACATTGCTGCCCTGTGAGATCTCTCAGCGTCTGAGCAATGCGCAGTAAGTGGCAATGAGCTGGGGTGAAGGAGACAGATAAAAGTAGTTTCCATGCCAACATGCTCTTCTGTCTCTCCCTCACAGTCACACCCGGAATTGCAGTTCTGAGCCATGGTGCAGCCGGAGAGGTTTCAGTTTGCTATTGATCGTGGTGGGACTTTCACCGATATCTTTGCCAGGTGTCCAGGGGACAAAGTTCGCGTCATGAAGCTCCTCTCTGAGGACCCAGCCAATTACCAAGATGCTCCCACTGAGGGCATCAGGAGAATACTACAGGAGGTAAATCACTGTGCACTGTATAGGAATGGGGACACCTTTATTGATTATATATCAGTTGTGTGTGATTGAATGGAGGAGTTGCAAATTAATTGGGTATTTGTTTGTGCTTATGTACATAGGAACAGACTGAAAATAGTGTCATTAGGTCTGGAGGTGAATGTTTGTATCACATAAAATTAAAGCTAATAACAGTGTGTGAAGATGGGCTCCAGTTTTATCCTTTGACATGAGGTTGTTTGGAAAAGGAGAACTCATGGACTGATTCTCAGTGGATCATCAGAGAAGGGTAGACAGCCATGGCATTGTGCACAGTAATCACAGCAAGAGAGAGAGAGAGAGAGACCCTTGTATCATTCCTCACAGAATTACACCGATTTAGTTGGGGCAGATCCATGGTGTTGTGCGCAGTAAGTTGCTGAGGAGTGGAAGGTGGACCCTGTGGCATTGCTCTCACTGGTTTTCTGGAGGAAGGGATGTTGAACACTCTAACATTCGCCTGTCCTGGCGGGCGAGTGTGTACTGCAGACTCCCTCACTAATTCAGTTTTCTGTGTGTGCCTCTGACAGGAGACAGGGATGCAGCTTCCTCGGGATCGTCCAATCGACACCTCCAAGATTGACTGGATCCGAATGGGAACAACTGTCGCCACAAATGCCCTGCTGGAGCGAAAGGGGGAGCGAATTGCACTGGTGATCACCAAAGGGTTCAAGGACTTGCTACATATTGGCAACCAGTCCCGGCCGAAGATATTTGACCTGGTAAACCTTCACAAATCACCTGGAGTTTTGTGTCTGTTTCTGCGTGCTACACTTTCCATTGTCATAACTTCTGGAAAGGGAGCAGTAGAGATTTACCAACATAAGATCAGGGTTGGGGGATTTTAGTGAACAGAAGAGGGGCTGGGGAACCTGGGTTTGTTCTCCACAGAGTAAATACAGGTGATTTATTAGAGGTGCATGAAATTGGGACATTTTGGGGTTGTATTTTAGAAGCCGTTAACCAAATCCGAATTCTCTGAGGGAACATGTATTCTAAGGAATTAAACGGGAGATTTAGAAACATGGATTCAGTTCAAATGACCTGACACAGTCGAAGAGAGCTGACTTGAAGCTGAGAAGGATGGGGAGCTCAATGTTCCAGCATTTTGAGTCTTCAGAAAGGACAAGGGCTGAAGGAAAGGTGCTGGGGAAAAGGGGTAACATTATTGATAAAGCAACTTGTTATGGCAGCTGGGGGAACAGCACCTTTCTTTCTGCTTTAGTGCTTTACAGTTTTCAGAATCCAACACTGAGTTCAGCAACTTGAGAGCATGAATTGCCCATTTGGATAATTCCTCACCCAACCTGTCTCCAGTGTCTTATTTGCATGAGTTTGTTTTCAGTTGAGTTGGCCTATTTCCTGCGATTAATAACTACTCTTCATCTCTCTCTCTCTCTCTCTCTCTCATTCTGTCTATTCTCTCCAACTATTAATATTCCCTTTGCCTTTCGCTCTGGGGCATCTTTTCTAGCTGTTCCACTGGCTCCTTTTCTGTAACAGAAAATCCACATTTTTCCGAGCCCCTTTCAGTTCCAATGAAGAGTAAAAACTAACTCTGTTTTTCCTGTCTCTACAGATGCTGCAGACCTGCTGCGTTTCTCCAGTAGTTTTTGTTTTATTCATAATTCCGGCAGTGGAGGGAGAGCTGGAATTCAAAAACGACAAGGGAAACAGGATCCTATGGTTGGCTGGATGTGGGGTTAAGGGGTGTTGGGTTCTTGGAGCAGTTCTCCCAAAGGGACAGTTAGTGCGGGAGCTTCTGGGAAGAAATATAGAAAATAGGAGCAGGCCATTCGGCCCTTGGAGCCTGCACCACCATTCAGTGCAATCATGGTTGACCACGCAATCTCAGTATCCCACTCCCGCTTTCTGTCCATACCCCTTGATCCCTTTAGCCACAAGGACCATGTCCAGCTCCCTCATGAATGTATCTAATGAACTGGCCCCCAACAGCTTCCTGTGGGAGAGAACTCCACAGGTTCACAACTCTCTGAGTGAAGAAATTCTTCCTCGTCTCAGCCCGTGTTTCTATAAGACCCCCCCCCGCCATTCTTCTACATTCCAGTGAGTGCAAGCCCAGTCGATCAGGATAGCAAGGAACTCAGAATCAGAAGGTGCTATTGAAAGCGATCTCACTACTCCTGCTTTTGATCTCCTCCTCCTCCTCCTGCCCTTCCATAGTGCCCCCCAACTCACGACCCCCATCCCACCCTCATTCACCTTTGAGCTTTAATCCAGGGACTCAGCTGGATGCATTGCTGCTACCAGCAGCCATTCTCAGTGGTACTGCCTGGCAATGAAGAGCTGACAGTTCCCAGCAATCAGGCTGGGGGAGGGAGGGAAGGCTGAGAGAAGGGCTTCCAGTCCTGGTTCCCAAACCCTGGGGAAGATCTGATGCTGCCTAATTAGATCGGCACTTCATATATTCACTTCATGCAACAACAAGAGGTAATGTGGAGCTCTGTCCAGCTGGTGCACACCCTTGTGGAGTGAGCAAGGCAGTGAGGGATGAAGTTTTAATACTGACACCAGTGAGCTTTGCCAGTTTACTCCTAAGAAAGTAAAATAGAAATATTTGCTCAATTGCCTTGATCACACAGCCACTTGCTGTCTGTCTCCTTCTCTCTGTGCCTGTGTCTCTCTTCTCCCCATTGCACACTCTCTCTCCCTCTCTCTCACTGTCTCTCTCTCTCACTATTCCCTTCATACACCAATGATCCTCAGACAGCACCTTCCAAACCCACAACCACTTCCATCTAGAAGGACAAGGGCAGCAGATATATGGGAACACCACCCCCTCCAAGTTCCCCTCCAAGTCACTCACCATCCTGACTTGGAAATATATCACCATTCCTTCATTGTCACTGAGTCAAAATCCTAGAATTCCCTTGCTAATGGCATTGTGGGTCAACCTACAGCACATGGACTGCAGCGGTTCCAAAAGGCAGCTCAGCCCCACCTTCTCAAGGGGCAATTAGGGATGGACAATAAATGCTGGGCCCAGCCAGCTACGCCCACATCCCAGAAAAAAGTGAATAAATAAGAACACACACATACTTTCTCTGTCTCTCTCTCTCACACACACACACACTCACAACTCCCTCTGGAGAATGCCTCTCCCTCTCTGTCCTACCCCTCCCTTTACACTGTCCCTCTTATTCTCTTTCTCTTTCCCCTTCTACAGTCTGTTACATTCTCTCCCCTCCAGCTGCATGGTTTCTCGCTTTCTGTGATTTTTTTTTCTCTTTGTGTTACCCCCCTTTCTCTGCATGCTGTCTCATTATTCTGCCTCTGTCTACCTCCTGTAGGAGATTGTGATGCCGGAGGTATTGTACGAAGAGGTAATCGAAGTTGATGAACGAGTGGTTCTACAGCAGAGTGGCTGCCAGCTGCCTAAACAGGCTGGCCTGGAGACAGCTGTGGGTAGGTGGAGCTCATGTCTCTGCTTATCGAGAATAAATCATAGAATTTAACATGTCCTCGCTTCACTGAGCAAATTATATCTCCATCGTCAACTTTGGTCTTAAAAAAAGTGCCTGTAGATTCTTTTACTTTCACCTGAGAAGGTGATGTATGATAGCTCACAGGGAATCCTGATTCCACAATCTATCAATAAAACAGGAGGATCACCAAGAACCATGTCTCAACATCTTAACCTGCAGGGTTTGTTATCACTCGCTCTCCATCCCTCCCTGACACTTTGTGTTTAGTCTCCCTGAAATGAGCTTTCGAACCCTGTACTCACTCCATCACTGAGGCTGTCTCTTTCCATCTCCACAATGCCGGTCATCTCTGGCACTCCCTCACTTCTTCAGCTGCTGAAATCTTCATCCAAAACGTCGTTACACCTCGGTCTGACTTTTCTAATCCACCCCTAACCGGCCTCCCAAATTCCACCCCCTGGAACCTCATGGTCATCGTAAAACTTACTGTCCTTGTTCTAAATCTGACCACGTCCTGTTCACTTGTCAGCTCTGTTCTTGCACACTTACTCTGGCTACCAGTGATTTTAAAAGTCGCTTCCTTCCTTTAAAGACATACAGATGCCCTGCATTCCCCTTGTCTCTGTAGCCTTCTCCAACCCCAGGGTCTGTGCACTACTCTAGCTCCAAGCTCTTCTGCATCACTGATTGTAATCGCACCACCCACATTGTCCACTGCACAGCTCTGGAATTCCCTCTTTAAACTTCTCCACCTGTCCAGCTCCCTTTCATTTGTGTTGATCCTTAAAATCTTTCTCAGTTACTCAGGTCTTTGCATTTCCTTATGTGGCTATATGGGCCGAGGAGTGGCAGATGGAGTTTAATTTAGATAAATGTGAGGTGCTGAATTTTGGAAAGGCAAACCAGGGCAGGACTTATACACTTAATGGTAAGGTCCTGGGGAGTGTTGCTGAACAAAGAGACCTTGGAGTGCAGGTTCATAATTCCTTGAAAGCGGAGTCACAGGTAGACAGGAAAGTGAAGGTGCTGTTTGATACGCTTACCTTTACGGGGCAGTGCATCGAGTATAGGAGTTGGGAGGTCATGTTGGGGCTGTACAAGGCATTGGTTAGGCCACTTTTGGAATACTGTGTGCAATTCTGGTCTCCCTGCTATAGGAAGGATGTTGCAAAACTTGGAAGGGTTCAGAAAAGATTTGCAAGGATGTTGCCAGGATTTGAGGGTTTGAACTATAAGGAAAGGCTGAATAGACTGGGGCTTTTCATCGGAAGCTGAGGGGTAAACTTATAGAGATTTATAAAATCTGAGGGGCATGGATTGAGTGAATAGCCAAGGTTTTTTTCCCCGGGGTGGGGGAGTCCAAAGCTAGAGGGCATAGATTTAAGATGAGAAAGATTTAAAAGGGACCTAAGGGACAACTTTTTCATGCAGAGCATGATGTGTCTACGGAACGAGTTCCCCAGAAAAAGTGATGGAGCCTGGTACAATTACAATATTTAAAAGGCATCTGGATGGGTACATGAATAGGAAGGAGTTAGAGGGATATGGGCCAAATACTGGCAAATGGGACTAGATTAATTTAGGATATCTGGTTGGTATAGATGAGTTGGACTGAAGGATCTGTTTCTGTGCTGTAACTTTATGACTCTATGTCAAATTGATGGGGGGATGTGATGGCCTAGTGGTATTATCACTGGACTGTTAATCCAGGGACCCAGATAATGTTTTGGGGACCCAGGTTCGAATCCCGCCATGGCATATGGTGGAATTTGAATTCAATAAAATATCTAGAATTAAGAATCTAATGATGACCATGAATCCATTGTCGATTGTCGGAAAAACCCATCTGGTTCATTAATGTCCTTTAGGGAAGGAAACTGCCATCCTTACCTGGTCTGGCCTACGTGTGACTCCAGACCCACAGCAATGTGGTTGACTCTTAACTGCCATCTGGGCAATTAGGGATGGCAAAAAATGTTACCTAACCAGTGACACCCTCATCCCGTGAATGAATAAATAAATTTTTAAAAAATTCTGCATGGTAATAAAAACCAAAAGAACTGCGGATGCTGTAAATC